TCACTTCTTCTCGGACTATCAATTCTTTCAAAAAGAAAATTAATAAAATTCAAGCACCTCCCAGGACCATTTCTGAAGCTTTTGTCATCTGTAATCCAAGAAAACTAAATATTGTATTGTGTCAATTACGTAATAATGCTAGCAATTTAAATTTTGATAAATGTAATGATCACTTGATAGTTGATCCATCTTGCTCTTGTGGCGCATCTTGTGAAAATGCTGAACATTATTTCTTCTTATGTCCACTTTATATTAACTATAGACATTTCATAACTGACAACTGATCTACTTACATCTAGTAATGTTTATCTATCTACTGATGATAATTTATGTATTCTCTCAAAAGTTCAGCAATACATTTCTGCTACTAACAGATTTAATTAAAATTATGACTGTTTTCATTGCCTCTTATATATGTATATCTTAAATTTTGAGTAAGGGCTTGTGTGTGTGTGTGTGTGAATGCTAATTTATTATGTGTATGTGAGGGTGTATGTGTGTTATGGTATGGTTGTAAGTGTATATGAGTGTGTCTCGTTGATCCATGTACTAAATTCATGCCTCTTGTCAATTAATACCGGATAGGAGAAGACTTATATAGGCTAAGCCTGTTATCTTATCTAATTGTGCAATTTTTTGTCCAATAAAATTTGTTGAAACTGATACCGCACTATGCTGGATATAGTCATACCTGAGTGAACGACGACAGTGTGTTGCCATCGGATCTGCCACCTCACATGATAAAGTACTAGATTTCGGGGTTCCTCAAGGGTCAGTGTTAGGACCACGAAAATATTGTATGTACTCCAAACCGTTTGGAGAGATTTGTCATCGCCATAGCCTTCGCTATCATTGCTATGCCGATGACACACAAATTTACATGGTCATAAAACCACAGGACAGTTGGAATACAGTCTCAGAAAGTCTGGAAGCTTGTCTGACAGATATCAGTATCTGGATGAACCCGAACATGCTTAAACTTAATCAGGAAAAGACGGAAATAATAGTCTTTTCCCCAATGTGTCAGCAAGCAATGGCTCTCCAGCTCAAGGTTGGTGCCAGAACTATTGAGACTGTTCCAGCTGTTAAATTTAAGATCTCACAAATTTAATTAATTTAATTAAAACCTTTTAAATGTCTGAAAAATGAGACAATGAACACAACGATGTATCCGTTTCCTTTCTCACTTTAATAGTGACCGAGGAATATGAATTCTCCTGACAGGTTTATTTACCAATTCTGCTCTCAAACTACCAACAAAGGAAGGTCATCTGAAAAATGAAAACTTGAATAGGTTTATAGTTTTCATGAATAAAATTTCTTTTTGGGTGAAATATGATGCTTTGAGATCATGTGCATGTGAAAAACAAACAGTACAGTGATACTATGATTTTACTGTCCTGTTTGATGACGTCATAGTAACTGTTATGTCATCATAACTATGACGTCATCAATGGGCATCTATGACATAATCGAGGATCACTGATATCAAAAATTAAACACTAGGAAACCAATCTCAACAACAAACTAGCAACAGACACACTTCCCGTAACCGATGAACATCACAGAAATGTCAGATATTCTGATAAATCAGACAAGTGCCACCATAGCAACCGTTATTTTCTTTCCTCGCCTAGAATTGACAGTGACCCTCAGAAATTGTTCATTTAACATATTTCGCTAGAAAAAAAAAATTCTTCAGCTGTAATTATGGAAATAAAATTTATACACATTACTGACTTTGCTTATTTAATCTATATGCTGAATCAAGTGAAAAAAACCCATCTCAAATAGTGTAATTAGAATGAAAACAGATATTTTACCCATTTTCAATAAATACAACTTTATGTATTAGTAACCATGGCTACCGGGTGCTGAACTGAGTGAAACAGACTGAAATCTAGTATGAATGCATCAGGAGATAGCCTGTGAACTATTTGATGTTTGGTATCAACTTTACCAATAACATAATTGACACATATGTGATGAATTGCAGAATTTCACAAGTGCCTGTGAAAGCGCGAGTTACCTCTCTTTATACATCCACAGGTAACAGGCTAATGACCTATATATAGACCTATCTATGTAACGTTTTTTTGGCGTTTTTGAGTAGTTTTAAGCAATAATGAATGAAAGTGAAGCTGAATCAAGCATAAAAAGGCATTTTTTCAGAAAAAATCAAGTTCTATGTGTATATGGTAGCAGTGTACAGTAGAAATGGCCCGACTCTGATAAACAAGGCACATGTCGAGGAAATGTAAACACAGCGGATTTACCCTACACAACACATGTATACATGTATATATATTTGTAAACTGCATTACATTTACAATACATATAAAGTACTGAGAAGTGTATAAACCTCTTTTTTTCTATGTATGTCACTTGTGCAAAATTTGACCCTTGCAACTAGCAATTTTTTTCCTAAGTTCTGTCTGAAATTAAAGATTACCTACCTGGTTGCAGAATTATCTGGGTCCCAGTAAAGTTGTTAAACTTGATTTTTTGCAATTTTGCGTCGTGTGCTGTTGTCAAAATTTACCTACTGTAAAGCTAGCTTTTCATGTGTAGGCACCCTTTCGGATTATGGCCAAAATTTTATTCTCGAACCAAAAAAACCCTTTTTTTACAAATTTGAAGCTCACATAGCCCACTTCATCATGCTTATACCAATTTTAGTACAGTTGTATTTTTATATTTTTTACATATCATTATAACAGGGTTAGCCATTTAACAAAGATATCACCCATGGCCACAACCCTCTACTGTATACTGCTACCTAAATACAATGATATGTTGAACCTTACCAAATTCAAAGACTGGGCATGTCCATTTTAAATAGTTTGGGGTGAATGAGTTAAATACTGTAAAATAGTATGTTGTAATTGCATGCTATTAAAAAAGAAAAATATCACTTTTTTATTTTATTTTTCCAAAGGTGAAATGGAGACAAGTATGGAAAAGGATCCAGATTTAGAGAAAACAACAGAATATGTATATTCTGAGCATGGCAGAAAGCATTTTATACAGCGTGGACCAATAAGGATTACTGTGACATCACATTGCGGGTTGGTAAGGACAGCATACCAACTCATCGTCTTATACTTACCACTCTCTCTGAATACTTCAAAATCCTTCTCCACAGGGATGTAAATGGCATAAAGGATGAAGCAGAGCTGAATGAAGTAGAATTTGATGCATTGTGCAAAATACTGACATTCGGTTATACCGGTAAGATTGAAATTTCCATGGAAAATGTTGCTGAACTGTTCATAGCTTCCTCCTACCTGCAGGTGGTTTTCGTGAAAGAGTCTTGTGAGAGATACCTACTCGACAATCTCGACAAGTCCAACTGCATAAGGACATGGTGCCTTGCTGACCAGTACAACGCCATGATGCTTAACAAGAAAGCTGTGCTGATGTTTATGATGGAGTTTGAAAATATCAGCAGCACAGAGGATTTTGTCACCATGGTAACAATGGAAATGTTTCTGGGGGTGTTAGAACAAGAGGGACTTGTAGTTTCAAGAGATGGGGTCATTTTTCCACCTGCAGAACAAGAGGTTAGTCTACTAGAGGGTGTGCTTCACTACATAGACAGTACCAAATGTAGTACGGAAAATGCAGTGTCTTTGCTTAAGACCGTCCGACTTCCTTTTATAGAGCATACAATGATCACGGAGCACATGTCAAAGTATCCTAGACTCTGCCAAAACAATGCTGTGAAAAAACTTGTGGATCCTGCCAAAACCTTTCAGGAAAGCTCCGAACCTCCACAGCAAACCTCCAGTATCTGTGTTTCGCCGAGGAGGCCAAAGATCAATGGGTACATGTATGACCCAAAAACATATGCAGTAGGAGGTAAAGATGGAATACACTTTTTTCTAATAAGCCACTTTGGTCTACCAAAACCAAGTAAAGAGGCACTTATCACCTCAGTTGATGTGCACTTAAGATTTGGGTCACACTATCCACCACAAGGCACAATTGTAGGAGGTTTAACCTTCAGATACTCGGACAACACGGTAACACAAGGTGGGCTGGCTGCTGGTTTTCCGTTTTGCACAAAGGTCGAGAGCTTCACCCTGCAAGATTGTGAATACATCACCAAGGTTGTCATAACGAGTGGATGGATGATAAACAACATCAAGTTTGAGACAAATTTTGGCAAGAGTTACGGCCCCTGGGGAGGGGAGGATGGAAAAGAGCACATCTGTGTTGCACCAAATAGATATCTACACAGTTTCGCTGGTATTAACATCAATTTTGATGGCTGTTCAGCTGTTCACCAAGTCCGCCTAGGATGGGCAACACTTGATGACACTGAACAGGAGCTTTAGATGCGCGATCTGTATGATAAGTTGAAAGTTAGGCCACCGAGAGATGAGGACAACAAGCTTCATGTTCATGATTAGGATGAGGTTTATGTTGAGAACGAGGTGAATTATAGCGATGAATATATCAACCTCTCTGACTATGAATGAGCTGAAACACTGGTCTGAATATCTGGGTTTTCTTGTGTTACCTTTACATTGATATTCTAAAATGACTTATAATGAAATATATACATGCAACATGTGTATGACATACATTCCGTTTTCAAGTTTTATCGTGATACAATACAACGCGGAACCATTTTTATTTATTGTGTGGGCTGCGTTGACTGATGTCCGTCCGTTACCTTTTCCTTGTCATCGCTCTCCTGCCTTCATTCATGAACATGTCTTGATGAAACTTGGTACATATATTCCGTCTTTTCGTATTGCAGAGTTATCTGCTCTTGTGAGCAGGTATTGATTGTTACGTCATTGGTTTGTGTGAGAAAATTACGTCGTTTTCTCAAAAATTGATGAAGTTACTCTCACAAATCAATGACGTAACAATCAATCCCTGCTCACAAGAGAAGATAACTCTGCAATACGCAAAGACGGAATTGCACAAATGAATAAGCATTTCAGAAGTTTACGTGCATTTCAGGTAGAGTTATGCCCCTTTTATTGACAAATAAGGGCTTTGTATAGAAAATGCAAGAACTTTTTATTTATTTTTATTTTTTAATCAATTCCTGTCAACTTTTTTGTACAGTAAAGCTAGAAGCAGTAATGTTCAACATATATATTTCAGGTTTTTCTGTCGAGTTTCAACTTTCCGCGTTTTGGCATATCACATGTACACTTGACATGGCAGCGCTGTTTTAATTTCGGGGTTTTCTTTGTCGTTAATTTTTGCTTGTTTCGCGATAACTAAAACAATTGTTCTCCAATTTATGTCAAACTGTGTTGGATGTTTCATTACCTGATTGCATTGGACGAGTTCTTAAATCGTGATATTCAAATGCTATTCGGCAGAGTTTTGTCCCTTTTTCATTGTGGAGCTCTGCTCCTTTCATAAGGGCAATGTGTAGTTAATGAAAGAACTGTTTTATTTTTTAATCAATTCCTTTCAAATTTGAATGAGTTCTTAAATTGTGACATTTATACACTACTTTGTAGAGTATTGCCCCTTTTTCATTGTCAAATATGGGCATTCCATCGAAAAAGCAAGAACTTTTTAACTATTTGTTCAAGACTCTACCTCAAAGCCAAGTTTCTAGTTTTAGTGGCAAGGTCACAGTCACCAACAAAACGGTGGCAGTAAACACATTTATATCTTATGTCACTACCTGCATCGTATATATCAATACCGTTCCGAGGGTCTGACGGGCATATCATGCCTCCGCTCGCAGTGCTTTTGTTTTTATTGATGTATTTTGCATAATTTGTTTTATGTGTGTGCAATAATTATAACATTACCATGACTATATGTGACAGTCCAATCATGATAAAGTTTATAACTTGTTTGATATTTGTTGTAAAATGGAATTTACGTTAATAATATTCAAATAAGTAACATTGATATATGACATTGTCTTTTATTTGAGTGGATGTGTTGACTCATGAAAACTTTCAGAAGAATGACATCAAGACAATCATACACAGGTCCTGAGTATAGTATAATACATTGTGCCTTATATCCAAGATACTCAAACCTTTATCAGCTTCACAAGAAGTTAACTCAAAATGTTCATGTATCATGTAATAGACGGATATTAGGTCTGTTATCAGAGGCGTAATAATAATGTGCTCTCTTGAATATAAAGAGTTCCCAAAATCACGTGTTTTTGAGAGTTCTTCCTGCAGCTTGCCACCTCTTTCACAATAGACAACATAGAACAACATTTCCAAAAATATTTAGATTCGAAATAATGTATTTGAATGTAAAAACAATGAAAATAAAGATCATCCTAGAAACTCCAGGGATTATGCTTCATTATGTTTTCTTCACTCCTGGAATATGTCCTCGCAGAATTGAATGCTCTGCTAGTGCCTGGCAGACCAGTTTGATCCTTTGATGTACATCAAAAGAATTGTCCGGCAGCAAAATAAATGGTAAAATTAGCAGGCTTGGGTGTGTTTGCTCCTCATTAATCATCAAAGGACATGTATCAGCCTAGTGCTTGGTCAATTTTTAGCTCCCCTGACCCGAAGAGCTTATGGCATGGTAAGGGGTCCGGCAACCGGCCGGCATCAACTTTTTGCTTTAAACAAATTCTTCTGAATAACCAAGAAGCCCAGGCTGATGATATTTGGCCAGTTACATGCTGGGATGGAGGGCTACCAAGTTTGTTCAAATGAATGACCTTGACTAACTTCCAAGGTCGCATGGGTCAAATGTCTAAAAATCTTCAAACAACTTCTTCTCAATAACTCAAAGGCCCAGGGTACTGATATTTGGCCTGTAACATGCTGGGATGAAGGGCTATCAAGTTGGTTCAAATGAATGACCTTGACCCTCTTTCAAGGTGACAGTGGTCAAATGTCGTAAAATCTTCAAACAACTTCTCAATAACCAATTAAAGGGCACAGGGTACTGATATGGGCCTGTAGTATGCTGGGATGAAGGGCTACCAAGTTTGTTCAAATGAATGACCTTAACCAACTTTCAAGGTGACAGGAGTCAAATGTCTTAAAATCTTCAAACCACTTCTCCTCAATAACCAAAAGGCACAGGGTACAGATATTAGGCCTGTAACATGCTGGGATGAAGGGCTATCAAGTTGGTTCAAATGAATGACCTTGACCTATTTTCAAGGTGACAGTGGTCAAATGTCGTAAAATCTTCAAACAACTTCTCAATAACCAATTAAAAGGCACAGGGTACTGATATTGGGCCTGTAGTATGCTGGGATGAAGGGCTACCAAGTTTATTCAAATGAATGACCTTGACCAACTTTCAAGGTCACAGGGGTCAAATGTCGTAAAATCTTCAAACCCCTTCTTCGCAATAACCAAAAGACCCAGGGTACTGATATTAGGCCTGTAGCATGCTGGGATGAAGGGCTACCAAGTTTGTTCAAATGAATACCCTTGACCCACTTTTAAGGTCACAGGGGTCAAATGTCATAAAATCTTCAAACCACTTTTCAATAATCAGAAGGCCCAGGGTACTGAAATTGGGCCTGGAGTATGCTTGGATGAAGCGCCACCAAGTTTGTTCAAATGAATGAATGACCTTGACCAACTTTCAAGGTGACAGGGGTCAAATGTCGTAAAATCTTGAAAACAGTTTCTTCTCAATAACTAAAAGGCCCAGGGTACTGATATTGGACCTGTAGCATGCTTGGATGAAGCGCTACCAAGTTTGTTCAAATGAATGACTTTGACCCACTTTCAAGGTGACAGGGGTCAAATGTCTTAAAATCTTTAAACCAGTTTCTTCTCAATAACTAAAAGGCCCAGGGTACTGATTTTGGACCTGTAGCATGCTTGGATGAAGCGCTACCAAGTTTGTTCAAATGAATGACTTTGACCCACTTTCAAGGTGACAGGGGTCAAATGTCTTAAAATCTTTAAACCAGTTTCTTCTCAATAACTAAAAGGCCCAGGGTACTGATTTTGGACCTGTAGCATGCTTGGATGAAGCGCTACCAAGTTTGTTCAAATGAATGACTTTGACCCACTTTCAAGGTGACAGGGGTCAAATGTCTTAAAAGCTTCAAAACAGCTTCTTCTCAATAACCGAAAGGCCCAGGGTACTGATAATGGACCTGTAGCATGCTGTGATAAAGGGCTACCAAGTTTGTTCAAATGAACGACCTTGACCCACTTTCAAGGTGACAGGGGTCAAATGTGTTAAAATGTTCAAACAACTTCTCAATAACCAAAAGGCCCAGTGTACTGATAATGGACCTGTAGCATGCTGGGATAAAGGGCTACCAAGTTTGTTCAAATGAACGACCTTGACCCACTTTCAAGGTGACAGGGGTCAAATGTGTTAAAATGTTCAAACAACTTCTCAATAACCAAAAGGCCCAGTGTACTGATAATGGACCTGTAGCATGCTGGGATAAAGGGCTACCAAGTTTGTTCAAATGAACGACCTTGACCCACTTTCAAGGTGACAGGGGTCAAATGTGTTAAAATGTTCAAACAACTTCTCAATAACCAAAAGGCCCAGTGTACTGATAATGGACCTGTAGCATGCTGGGATAAAGGGCTACCAAGTTTGTTCAAATGAACGACCTTGACCCACTTTCAAGGTGACAGGGGTCAAATGTGTTAAAATGTTCAAACAACTTCTCAATAACCAAAAGGCCCAGTGTACTGATAATGGACCTGTAGCATGCTGGGATAAAGGGCTACCAAGTTTGTTCAAATGAATGACCTTGACCCAATTTCATGGTCACAGGGGTCAAAAGTCGTAAAATCTTCAAACAACTTCTTCTCAAATAACCAAAAGGCCCAGGGTACTGAAATTGGGCCTGTAGCATGCTGGGATGAAAGGCTACCAAGTTTGTCCAAATGAATGACCTTGACCCACTTTCAACCTTATGTCCTTGTTCGACATTCAAGGTCACAGGCGTCATATTTTTAAATCTTTTAATAGGTTCTTATGAATCAAACACTGATATTCTGCCTGTAGCTGTATTTTAGTCCACTTTTAAGATTGTAAGTGTGAGATTAATACCAGGTGAGCGATGCAGGCCCATTGGGCCTCTTTTTTGGTTTGGCTATTATTTTCACTTTTAGATCGGAGATTAGAGCACTTGGCTTAACCATTTTTGGCAACTAAAATACCACATTTCTTTTTAGAAAAGGGGGAAAAAAATCTATTTCGGAGAGACTGGAATCCGTAGGTTTGTACATTTATCGGCCGATCAACCTGTTTGGCTACTTCTTAAAGTAATTTTTTTTTGGGTATAAATCATAGCGGATGTTGATGCAGATCACTACACCAGGTCCGTACGTCTCTAGATAATAACGAACAACCCTGGCCAATCGTTTGGAACACTATAAACGAATTAAGCAGTCCAGGTATGTGATTGATCAATGTTTAAATCAAATTGATGAAACATATTTCAGATAACTGTGTGCCTGTTGTTTGTGTTTTACGCCCTATTAACGTTAACAGCTAAGATCATTTTAGGACGTGCCAGGTTTGTTGGTGGTGGAAAACAGGAGTACCTGGAGAAAAACAACCAACCAGCGGCAGGTGGCTGTTGTAGGACTCTCTGTACCTCTATTGTGCGACTGTATGTCTGTTTCGTATTTGTATGTTTAACTGATGTTTTCGTTCAGTTTCAAATTTGACTGCCCTGCTTTGTATATACCCCTTCATATATTCAAGTCAAGATGAGTTGTAACTAAAATTCCTGTATGCCTTTTGGAAATAACAGTCGCTCAAAACAAGGAATTAAGATATAGAGCGATTTTGTTTTAAAATGA